ACAGTTCTACAAGTATTTGCTGAGATCCTCTATCCTTGAGCTTTGTTAGTGTGTTACAAGTATGAAAGTAACAGCTTTTAATTTGGTACTGCAGCTTATATTAATCTGAAGCACTGAGCACCTCACTAGCTGTGGAGTTTCTTCACTGCTCAGGGCTCTTCTGCATAGTGACAGTGGAAAGCTGAAACATTGGTGGCACTGAACAGTTGCCTTCAGGTGATTCCTGCTTGATGCTGTTGCTTTAAACTGAGCTGTTAATTGTCCAACACACCTGCACCAATAGATAGGTTGAGCAAGGAAGGAGAGCTAGAGTATTTGAGTTTTGCTTTATGAGTCTAATAACATAATTCAAGCTATACCTCAGTTTTCAGTTTTGAGGACTTCTGCTAAACATCCTGCTCCAGTCAGGTATATGTTAAATGGGAGTTTGAAACATTAAGCTACTTCTCTCTCCGACCTCAGATTCATTCATCTCCAACACCTGAGATGCAGAAATGAGTTTATCCAAATGATTACAGCTATTTGGAGTGTTTCTTTCATTTGATGGAATTATGAAAATTACTAAGTCACAGAAAACAGAGGTGCTAAAAAGAAGATAACACTCTTTATTCGGTACAAAATTCCTCTTCTTTTACAAGTTTGATTAGGTTGGAAGTTGAGAAAAGATGAATGAGAATGAAACACCCCTTCCTGTTTTTTAGAACACTGTTCTCTACAGTAGCTGCTCTTCTGCTTTGTCAGCCTTGAAAATCCATCATTAATATGCTTTGGCCTTGTCTTTGAAGAAGCTTCTAATAGAGAGTGCATATCTGTTATGCTCTTACAAAAGGGAGAATCTTTGTATATCCCAAGTTTGCTACTATGGAAGCATCTGAATCCTGAATACATCAGAAGATGGGGATTATATTCTTCCATTTTCCTCTTTCTGTGTCATGGTTGACATAATTGTGATAAGATTTTCAACATTTGAGGCAGGCCATCAGCTTTCTATTCTCATTTTAGAAATTCAGCTTCTCAAGGTAGAATTAATAAACTTTTGATATTAAAAATTTAGTTCCTAGTTTAACTTTATACAAATAGCTCATGACTAGCAGAATGTAAAACTAAACTTTTTTTTTCTATACAGAAAAACAAACTGAATTTGTAATTCTAATTTGCCTTACCCTTCAAGTCAGATTCAAGTTTGACATGTGTACTTAAATTCTAGGAAATAGTGAACTGTCTGTGAGTAATTCTCAGTGAAAAGTTACTCCAGAAAAACATGCCTGAATTTTGTTTTCTTTAAGTCAGTGTTATTTTTATGAGCTTGCCAGGGTTGTGTTGTCACTGTGGGTGGGTAGTGGGAGGCAGGCAGTCATGCTGCAGGGTTTTATTATTTCTGGCTGGGAAAGGTGCCCATTTGCCACAATGGCTTCTTTAGTTTTTCACGCCTCCTCTTCCCAATTCCAGGCCAGTGCTGCTGGTGGGCAGAGCTGTGTGCTCTGCTGAGAGCTGCTCCTGCAGGTCAGGCACACCATGCCCTTGTGGCTGGGACCTAGTGCAGGTCACTGAGCTGCAGCACAGGTTGTCAGCTCCTCTCCAGCAGCATCAAGGAACGGGTTTTCAGACAGCTGCCTCGCAAAAACACTGTGGAGTTATGTAGGGAAACAAGTTTTCCTACAAAAAACAAGGTGGAGGAACATCAGGATTTTCTTAAACACAGAGGGCTGTAACCTCTGAAAACATGATAAATCCAGGTACCTTACATTGTGTCAGCAGCAGCTGCTAGCATTCTACATCAGGGATTCCTAAAGTTTGAACAAACCTTGCACATGTTAACACACAAAAAGTGGAATCCAAATATCTCTGCTGGTTCTGGCAGTGATGTGTGGGATGACTTTTCACTGCATTTGTGGAACCAGGAGTGTGCTGTGACACTGAGTCAGCCAGATGTGTTGCTGCCATTCCAGTACCACAGGAGCCAGGAAGAGGCAGGAGCAGCAGCAATGGCAGGACTGGAAGAGAATGAGGGTATTGACAACTTGTACCTAGAAGGAATCACTGTCTTGCCAGTCTTGTGGTACCATCAGGTTCAGCAAAAAAAGTCTGGAGCCAAATTCCAGCCAGTGACAGACCAAGCAAGGCACAGCAAATAAAGTGGGTCTTTTGAGCTCTGTGTTCAGTGTCAGTTAAAACTTGACAACAGGTGTTATGAAATTTAAGGTAAAGCTGTTGGGTTTGTGGAGCAGGTAAGTGCTATAAAGGTAATGCTTCAGTCTCAGAACATCTAGACAGAAAGTAGTGGAAAAGCCTAATTATTCCTCTTCATAGACTTAATATTTGACTTGCAAGGGAACACCACCTTGCAGTATCTCCCTTTGTCTTCACATTGCTTAACAGTGTAAAATTATTCTCATCATGTTCCTGGGTGCCTGACTAAGGTAACATGCCCTGTAAATGCTGAAATAAACTATCTCAGGTGGTGACATTTCAGTTTAATGAAATAAAATTCATCCAGAGTGGAGTATGGCTGGGCAATGCAGGTTTGTGTTTATGCTACCATGAATACACCCTCATGGCCTGTTCTGTGTTGTGCAGGATCTGGGTTCCCCAACAATAGAAGAACAAGTTGATCAGCCTACAATAGATGATGAGACTGTGCTTATTGTTCCTTCTTCCCATGGTTTTATCCAGGCAACGGATGATATCGACAGTGAATCAGTATTGCCCTTGACAACTCTCACAGGTATGACAGTCCCTGCCATTAAAGCAGTGTGTAGAGCTTCTGAGTCTCTGCAGACAGCACTTCACAGATCCTTGCTTTCCCTTAAATAATTTTACATATCAGTGCTATAAAACTGCAAATAACCTTACAAATACTCCTCCCCAGAGGAAGGATCTCCCTGTAAAGCCATCAGAGGGTCAGCACTGATAGTGCAGTACCTGATGGATGCAAATGCCAGTCACACCATTGCATCCATATCCATCCATACTGGCCATCACTTACCTTCTCTAAAGATACTCAAACCCCACCTGGATGTGGTCCTGTGCAACGTGCTCTAGCTGAACCAGCTTTAGCAGGGGGTTGGACTAGAGGAGCTCCAGAGGTCCCTTCCAACCCCAACTATTCTGTGTTCCTGTGAATCTAGGAATTGCAAACTGCCTAGTTAGAGCAACACTGCCTGTAATTGGTTAGAATTCCAGGCTACATTTCCTGTCTCCTAAGTTTGTGTTTTATATCTTGTTATAATGGCACAGCAATAGTTTTAATGCTTTTTGTCCCTTGCCAGATCCTATCCTACAGCATCATGGAGATGGGTCACACATTATTGGCTCATCGTTGGGCAGTCCTGACTCAGAAGATTCAAAGGATGTTGAGGATTTAGTGAGCTGTCACTGAGAAGCACCAGTGGTGTCCATTTCCTATGACCATGTTTGCATTGTGAAGAAGCCCTGTGCCACGTTTCCAAAGAAAGCAGTCACAGTCTGTCTCTTTGAACAGAAGCTTCCAGTGTGAAATGACTATGGTGCACTTTCTCTGCTCAGGCTGTTTCCCTCATCCAGGAGGGAGGACTGAGCTGCCAGCCGAGGCCTGAGGTGCCACGTCTCACTGGGGTGTTCCAGTGTGCTGAAGAGCCTCTGTTGCAGTGCTCTCAGTGCTCAGATCCATCCAGTCAGTTCTGATCTGACTTGTTACTGATGTGCTGAACTGCACACGTGGAAAACTGGACAGAAGTCAAGGATTGTGGACTGCAGCCTCTTAGTGCCGCAGCAAGTAGTAGTTTGCACAGGTTTCATGAAGAATGGGTGAGGATTTTTGCACTTACTGACTCTTGTAATACATGGAGTAAGAGACTGTTACATTTCAGGAAGGAGTAAGTTCCATCAGAGACTTCAGGGAGCATGGGCAGCATCGTGAAGCAGTGGGGTGTGTTCCCATCTCACCTGACTCGTTCATATGTCTGTGGCATAGGAAGAAGGCAGAAGCTTATGGGACTTTCCTGGTCTGCTTGTTCCTGAGGAGTCCATTGCTGGCAATGGACAGAGCTCAGAAAGATCACTTGTGGAAAATCTTTCCTTGGTTTTTTTCGTTTTTTTTTCTCTCATCACTACAGCAAGCTAAATAAAAAGGGAAGGGCTATGAGAAAGGGAAGCTACTGGGACCCACCGGCCTCCCCCAACAAGCTTGGAATTTTTTGGACATTGTTGTGAGTAGGTTGGAATGTTTGTTGCTGTTTACCTGACACTACCAGCCACCTCTCCAGACTTGATTTCTGCAGCAAGTTAGTAAATGGGGAGTGGTGTGAGGGTGGCAAAGTCTTGGAAGAATAGCTCTGTGAGAGTCTGGACATAGGGCCTCAGGGCAAAGAAGGCCAATTAATTCCTACATTGTTTGAAACAGACACTAGGCTGAACAGCAGCCTATTAGCTAGAAATCAAGAGAAAAAGCTATAGAAACTAAAGACTTGTATAAATTATTTTATTTATTTCTGTAATTAGCTCTTCATAATCAAGAGTTGGTCTTTTTCAGTCTGTGGTTTTGTTAATGTGAAAAATAAGTTGTAGTTTTAAATGGTTGCCTAGGGAACAGAAATAATTGTATATTCAGTTTCAACAAAATAAAGAGTATTTGTCTTACTTGACTGTAAGATGCCATTTATTTATACTGCCACAGATCCTTTCAGTGCTGCAGTTTATTTGTACAGTAATAAAAAAAGTGCAGTTTTTTCCAAAATGAAAAAGCTTGTGCCATTCTGAAACATCAGTACAACTGGAATGTTCATTAAGCGCAACAGTAGCTCTTCAAAAAAAAGCAGAATGTCACGTCTTATGGCAATAATTCTCCCCAACAAGAGGGACAGTACATATACATTTACATGAAAATCATGTACTGATTTATCCTTGCACAACCCACTTCTTTCCTCTCAGGCTGGTGGTTCTCACTTAAATGTCTCGAGTAGAGCTGAGAGCTGAGCTGGAAGCAGTCTGACACAGCAGCATCATTGCTGGGTATTCCCAATGTCCTTCATTTTCCCACTTCATGGAAGTACAGGTTGGCACATATACATAACATGACAATAGAAAACAATATGTAGTAAATTAGATTTCTAAATTTGGGTTCCAGGTCTCCTTGTCGATACCAGTAGATCTAGAAGAGAAAAGGAGTTGGTGTTATTTCAAAAAGCTAGATATTCTGAGGAAACGTTCTTTGGTAAATGAATTGGCAACTTGCAGGTTTAGTTTTGGGTGTTTTCTTCTTCCTGTAAAGCAATCCGACTTCCTCTGGCCAGAGGGACTGAGTGTGTGAGTGTGAAACTGCCCTGAGGACATGTCTGTCTCAGCTTTGCTGAGAGGGAGGGAGAGTGGGTGGCTTAGCTGGGGGTGTTTTAACTCTCAAAGCTGGCTACACCCTGGTGGATGAGGACAAACACTGAGGCTTTGCACTAACACAGTCTGTTCTGGGCAGAGTCGTGGCCACCAGCTGTAGGATCAAAACCTGGGACTGACCAGGGGGTGCAGAGCAACTTCCCAGCATACTCAGGAGTGAGGGCTTCAGGGCTGTTCCAGGCCACAACTGGAGGAAGGAGAATGCTCCAAGTATGAAAAGCTACAGCAGAAGAAGGAGCCACCAATGTGCCTGCCCGTGGGAGTTGGCCTAGATGGTCTTTGACAGCTCCTTCCACCCCAAACCATTCTGTGAACTCAGACCTGCCAGTGCTTGGGACCAGCTCTCTTGGAATTCTGCAGTTGTTGAGTAGAGGAACATCGTCCATTTGCTGTAGCTTCTTACCCCTGTAACCCATCCCCTGTAAAAGGTCACTGACTAATGCAATGCATGGCTGATCCCCCTTCAGGTGTCTTTTGCAGCACAATCCATCTTTGCATTCCCATTTCAGTGCTCTGCTCCCTTTTTTCCTGCTCTGTGTCCCCACTGGCAGCTGTGGGTGGCAGTGCCACAGAAGTGACAAGTCTTGCACCACAGCTGGGCTGCAGGAGCTGGCTCAGTTCACACTCTTACTCTGCAGTGAATACAAAACTCACTGCCACTCCCTCATTGTCAGCTTGTGTATTATGGAGGCAGGAAAGCATTTCTAGGAGAGTAAAAAAGAAGGCAGCTCCACATAAAGCAGATTTTATTCAGAGCCATGGACTCCAAAGCACGGCAAACGTGGCGGTACTTACAAGAATGCCAGCAGAAATGCAACACAAGGAGATGCAGAAAGCAAAAAATACATTCACAGGTTTTGGAGGTAGTTGCGGGAAGACAAAAGCACTGATTAGAGTGACCTGTATGGAGGAAAACAGAGATGAGGATTTCACTCTGGCCAGAGCTGCAGTGAGAAGAGGCTCAGCCCAAGGGCTGGAGCAGCACAGTGCTCACATCCTGATCTGCACAGCCCTCCCTGGTCTCTGACTCCCATCCCTGAGGACGTGAAGGAAAATGTGCAAGTTTGGAGGAAAACTACTTTGATACAGCTGCACACTGAGAGGAGTGGGAAAAAAACTTTGCCAAAAGCTTTGCCATGCTGGCTTATTGCCAGAAACCACCCTCCAAGTAGCCTTGGAGCCATCAGGCCCATGTAGGAGCATCCCTTCAGCCAAGTGTTCCACCAGCTGGCTCCTCTCCTGTCCCCACAGCCTCCCTGCACTCAGCTCTCCAGCAATCCCCCGTGAGCCACACTCATGGTCTCCAGTCCTGACAGTGTCAGGTTTGTCTTTAAAGCTCAGGGAAAGCACAGCTCAGCACAAAGGGACAAACTTTGGAAAGACTTCTATAAGCCATAAATAGAGGTCACTAAATCATAAATAGAAGGAAATAGAAGCAAACATGCTCTCTTGGCACATAAGTGTTTTTGTTGTCTCACCCAGCCTCACGTTCAGCCAGGATGGACAATCTGCCAGAGAACTTAAAGAAAGGTATTCCCCTTCTCCTGTTGTCAAAGAGTTTCTAAAGACAAGTATGTCCCAAAATGACTGCCTGTCCTAAATCAGAGCCTCTTTGGTCATTGGAAGCTTCACCACCCGTTTTTGGGGAGGAATTCTGGTTTTCTCCCTGTCACTTGATGCAACATGGGGTGGGATAGGAGATACTTACTACAAGCAGCAAGGTTGTCAAGCCACCAACAACTAGATTGATGATTCTGTCCTGAAGAAAAGAGAAGAGTGTTATGTGTATCTAAAAACCAACAACAAAAACCCCCCCAAATCACATAAAACAGAGCATTAACCAACAACACTGAGCATCAGCCAGGATCCACATTATTGCTAGCACACCATCAAGGCTCCCTGGTCAGCTCTGCCACACAGGAAGGTTTCCCCTCCCTCCACAGACCCAAGGGAGGTTCTACTGGTCAAGGCCTCGTGCAGCAGTTTGCTTATTTGCAAATGGCTTCTCTGCTGCATCTAAATCAATTACAGTTGTGCAAATTGTATTTAAATCTTTTTTTTTTTTTTAAAGTGGGAGTGCACAGATGGAGGTTGTCAGAAAAAGCTTTTTTTAGCCTCACTGCCTGAGAATTAATAGATTGATGGAGTCCTAGGTGGGAATTTGTGGGCTGCTGGCAAGGAGGTGAAGCATTGCCCACACCCCAAATGCTCCAGCCTGACACCAGCAGGTCTGAAGGTGCCACACAGTGGCTCTGCTTGGACAGACAGGTATCCCCCCACACTTCTTTCTGCTGCTTCTGATCAGTACAGAACAACTGGGAGGACACAACCTTTTTGCCCCTGGGAAGAAAGATCCCTCCGTGACAGCATGGCAGTCACATCCCAGTGGCATCAGAACAGGGACACTGGCCTGTGTGACCACGGGCCCAGAGGAGCACACACAGCAAGACCCTGTACTGATGAACCTTCTGGAGTAAAAAACAAAGGAAAAGGAGAATATTCCAATCCCTGCCAGCACACTGCCTCCTCCCTGGTGCTGCTCTGAGTATGAACATGTATCACCACAGCCAGACTGGGCTGCACACAGCCAGGTGTGACACCCCAGATGGCTGACAACTCGAATCAAAGGCTAAAACAGCTACAGCAGAAAAAATGTGCAGAGAGAAAACACTCCAGGGTTCTATTAAATGTTCTGAGAGTCATTAAGTAGGTATGGTGAAAGTGAGAAAAGAGTTTGAGCAGTGAAAACATTTTGCCCAAGACATCCCAGCCAGCAGGCACACAGGCTTCCCTCCACCTGCTCTTGCACAGTTCTTCCCTCTAGAATTTGGATTTGTAGAGGGAGAAGTCCCAGGTCATCAAGAAGTAACAGCAGCAGGGCACTGGAAGGAAGCAAAGAGGAGGCAGGGAGCAGCAAGTCATGCTTTTGTGGGACACCACCAGCCCTGACCAGAGGCTGTGGAGCTCATCCTGAGGTGGTTCAGGAGCAGGTGGATGCTGTGCCCTGGTTGTGTTCATCCCCAGGGCATAGGGCCATAAGCAGACTCCAAAACCTCTCCTATTAGTCCCCAACTCCTCTTTGTAAAACAAAACCACTGATGCTCCTGCAGCTCAGAGGCCCCAAGCTGTGGGGGAACAGCAGTGGCTGCAGCAGTGAGAAGTGACACCCCCCATGGGAAATTGTCACCAACATGCCCTGTGCAAGGTCCTCACCAGCCAGCACAAACCCCTTCTCCTCACTGGCATTTCCACACAGAGCTGGCAATGTGACAGCAGCCTCTGAGAGCCAGCTACGAGATACCCACCACTGACCCCAAAAAGGAACCCAGAGAAGTAACTCCAGGCAAATGAGAGAAGCAACTTGAAAAGTGCAACCATGAAATGCTCCATGAGAGCACATCATGACTGCTCAGCTGGACTCCTCCTCCTCACCTAAAATAAATTAAAAGAACTCAAAGCTAACTTTAATTTAGGCAGGACGTGGAAGGGTCCTTACCCCAAAAGCCACTCCAGCAGCAGGAGAGGATGGCAGTTTTGCTCTGCCCTTGCCCTGCAGACCTGGCTGAGCCCACCAAGGCAATGTTACAGAGGGGGACCAGAGCTGGCATTCAGGCTCAGCTCCTCCATGCAGAGTGGCAAGAGGTGAGCAACTGGATCCTTTGTGCCATGAGGAGATGGGCTTCCAACAGCAGAGACAGCAGGGAATGCCAGGGAGCCAGCTGCAGAACTAGCAGTGGGTCACCAACCTGCAGAGCTCACCTGGTGAGCACAGAGTCACAGCCAGCTCTGCAGAGAGCTCGGAGGGATGGACACACAGTCAGTCACCATCCAAAAACAGCCATGACTGCACTGCTCATTAACTAGAGACCCATTGTGCCAGGACAGGCTGGACTGGCAGGAGAAAACAAAGGGTCAGACTTAACAGCAATCATGGAGCATTTCTCTCTTGGGTGTTTCAGTGTGGGAGAGAGCATCCCCCTGCACAGGGACCTCTCATCTCACACTGCTGAGGGAGGGACCTCCCAGTGACACCAGGATCAGGTACAGATGCCAGCAGGGGAGCAGGTGGCCTCCAGTCCCTGCAGGCAAGGCAGCCCCTTCCCCTGTTTAAACCCACGGGCACTCAAATTGTCAAAATGCACTGCAGCAGAAGAAGGTATTTCAGGATCCAGGGATTAGAGACACTGATCCTGAAATCCCAGGCTTGGCAAAGCAGTGAGAGGCTGTATTCCCCAGTGCCCACTGACACTTCAGCCCCAGGCAGCTTAGCACAGCAAAAAGGTTAAAAATACTCAAGCAGAGGCCAAGACGGCTAAAGGGATTGGGGATGACGGAGCCTTTCACCTCCACACTGTGTCAGAGTGCACAGCCTGCCCGGGCAGACACTCCTGGGCATGCAGAAACTGGCTGTGGTGAGCCCTGTGTCCTACAAGTCACCCAGCTGGCACAGCAGCCACACAGCTGATTCAGGAAGGATTTTTCTCCAGCATCACCATGTTCTGCAATAGCTGCTAGAGTAAAAAGGCAAAAAAACCCAGCAGACACATGAAATCAGAGAGGCTGCAGCTGCCTGAGGTCACCTGGACCAGGACAGGGTACTGGCACACATGCACCAACTTCTGACCCAGCCCAGCAGTGCCTCCCTGGGGGTCCCCATTCAGCCAGCCAGCTACCGAGACGCAGTGAGCTGTTGGCCAGACAGGAGATGAATTCCATGTTTCACTGTTGCACAAGATGCATTTTGTGCAAGGAGGGTTTGTGCCCTGTCCTTCTGCTCTGGGGAGGGTATTGCAGGAGCTGGAGGCATCAGACTCCTCCCAGGGAGCCTCTGCAGGGCAGAGGTCTCCCTCCATCTGCCCCTGGGAAAGGGACATAAGGTCAGGAAGCGTCAAATCCTTCAAAGCAGGAGGGCACAATCCAGGATTCTTTAGGATCTGGGTCAAGATTACTTGGAGCAGCAGGGAAACTGAGGCTAGACTGAGACTATATCTGCACTCCCTTCACAGGCTTTGACAGAGTGGCAGCTTTGCTCTTTGACCCATTCCAGCTTGGCACCTTCCATCCTTAAATCCTCCAAGTTAGCGGCATGTGGGCTGAGCCCACAGGGATGCTGACAGAGGCTTGGCCAGGAGAAGGGAATGGGCAGGTCCCCTGGAGCGTGGGTACCTGGTGCCATCTCTGCAGGAGTGACAGAAAGGCCATTTTTATGCCTTACATCAGCAAGTCCAGATGGTCAGCAGCCACTGCAGCCGTAGGGGATGCCTGAATGCAGTGCCAGACCCAGCCTGGTGGAATTGCAGGCAATGCAGGCTGTGCTCAGGGCCATGCTGGACACCCACCCTCTGCAAGACTTGGGGACTTCCTGGTGTGTCCTCAAAAGCCCATCATTCCCATCCCGAGCTGCTCAGTCTCTCTGTTGTTTTCTGCTTCCAACCCATAACAATTAACTCCCACCCACTCAAACACTCCTGCCATGGAGGAACCCAAATTTGAACTTCTTTCCTGAGAAGTGCTGCCCTGTGACACTCTGTCCCCTCTTTGGCACCGTACAGCTGTGCCTTTGCCTTGTCTCATACCCATTCACTGCCAGCACTGGACAGCACAGCTGAATCCACAGCTCCTGGCATTCACTGGTGCCGTGTTGCTGCAGTCCCTCTTCCCAGCAGCCACGTCTTTGGCACCACCTTGCCCCAGTCTCTGCTCAGCAGTCGCACAGGAGAGCGAGCTTGGCAGGAGCAGGAGCAGCTGGACCACAGCAGGGCAAGGAGGTGGATGCTGCTGCCCAGCTCTGCCATCCCCAGAGAGTGGCTTTACCCTCAAAGTCACCAGCTTGGAGACCAGGAGAGTGCAAGAAGGCAGGAAGAGGGAATCCCCATCTCTACATCCATTTCCAGTTGCTGGCAAGGGTGGAAGATCCCTAATTTTGGGCTCAGGGCTTCTTGGGATACGAGCACTGCCCAAGCCCCAGCAGAGGATCCTGGTTTGCCAGTATCAGCCATCATTTGCAGAGACCCAAAAGCAGAGCTGGGACGTGGGCAGATGCACTTCTCCCGGCAGACCTGCTCCCATTTAAAGGCAAAGTTTAGCTTTTCCATTCCTGACACAGAACATTCCAGCTCGGGACCTCACCAGCGTCCGTTCCTAAGCAACCCCAGTGAATCGGGGAGGAAAGGACCCCTGGGCAGCACAGCGATCCTTGTCTGTCAGACACGGCTACAGCAGCGAGAGACCATTGGCTGCTGCTCGGCCCATCGGACAGGCTCCAAAAAAGCCACAGGAGACAGGCAGGGGGTGAAGTGCAGGACACTGGATCCCCGTTAGAGCCCAGGAACTGAAATTAGCATCCCACGTTTATTATTTACTCCTCTCCTTTGCGAGCAGAGGCATAGCTGGAAAAAGACAGATCAGGGATCGAAGGCTTGACCTGGGCTGAAGAGTTTGGGAGTTACCTGCCAGGACTGCCTCCCTGCTCCAATGGCACATCCCAGTCCCCAGAAGTGCCCGTTGCTGGGAGCTTCCCAAAATCCCTGACCAAGGAGCATCCAGCAGGACCCAAGTGCAGGGCACTGCTCCAACAAAGGTACCCCTGCCTCCAGTGCTCCCCATCAGGGCAGCACTGCTCGTGGGGATACCTGTCCCCCCCTCGCTTCATCTTCTTGGGGTCCTGCCTGTCCTCCTATGCCACATCACTCCATTTTTCCCCGAAAATCCGGTTGGTATCACTTTGTTCTCATTAAACATTGTAATTGTAGCAGCAGTTCCAAGTTCTCGCAGGGAGGGCGGTGATGGACTCGATACACTTCTGAATAATCTCAGGCGGTTTCAGCCTGCACCCCCCAAGCACACACGAGTGTGGGTAACCCCTCCTAACAGGGGACAACCCCGAGGCACAGACGGATGATGTGACGCTCCAGGTACCGTGGATCCCGAGGGATCCCGATCCCAGGAGCCCCCTCCCCGGCACCGCAGCAGTGCCGAGAGCCGAGCGGCTTACGGGGATTGACACCTGAGGAGCCGCTGCTGCCACACGTCACCGAGGAGCCAGCTCCTCCAGTTCCCAGGGAGCCCCCCATCCCCATCCCGGCAAAGCCCCCCAGGCTGGGGGAGCGGCAGCCGGGCTGCTCCAGCCGCAGCGGCCTGGGGTCTGCAGGGCACACCCGGCTCTGCGACCCCCGCCCTGCCCAAACCCTCTCCGGCCCCACCCCGAGGGTCCCCCCGACCCTGGGACCCCGAGCCCCACGTTCCCGATAGAGTTTTGGGGGGATGTTGCTTTGGGGAGGATTATTTGAAAGTTGATTTTCTTGGGCAGAAGGGGAGGGAAATGTTTTGCGAGTTATTTGGGGAGGGGATCTTGCTGGAAGGGTTTAGTTCTGGGGATATCGTTTGGGGTTTTTTTTTTTAATTTGGCGCCGGGTTGGGGTTGATGGATTATTTTTGGTTTGGGACACTAATTGGGAGATGGTTGTGTTTGTTTTATTTCAGGGGTGGTTTTTTTATATAATTACGCCAAATTGAAGCTTTTCCTTCTTTTGGAATTTGGGGGGCTCCTTTTATATTTTTTCATTAGGGCGCAGCCTTTCTTATTTTTGATGCTGTTTTGGAGGGACACTGAGAATTCTTTCTTATTCCATATGGATTTTTAAATTTGTTTGCAGGGTTCGGGCAGGTTCCTCGCTCGGGCCGGCCGCTCGGCTGCCTGCGGCGCTCCGTGCCGAGCCGGGGGCAGGGGGTGGCGAGCAGCCGCTCTCCGGGGCGGCCGGGAGGAGGTTCCTCCTAACCGGGGGGCATTTACCGGGAGGGTCGGGAGCGGGGGGCACCACGGGACTTTCGGCTGCATTTCCTCCGCCGCGGTTCGCTGCGGCGGGGGGTTCTTTCGAGGCAGGGGGGTGCCGGGGGTGGCCGCTGTCGCGGCGGAGCGCCGTCCCTTACCCTGGCCGAGGTCTCCCCGAAGAGCGGCCGGTTGTCCGCGCCGCCGGTGCCGTACCCGCGGGCGGGGAATCCCTCCATGGCGCGGGGGCGCTGCGCCGGCGGCCGCGGGGGGGCGCCCGCTCATGCTGCGCCTCCCCCGCCCGGCCCTGCGCGCCCGCTCCGCGCCCCGCGGCTGCACCGGAGAACGGAGCGGAGCGGCACCGGAGAACGGAGCGGCACCGGAGAACGGAGCGGCACCGGGCGGAGCGGAGCGGCACCGGAGAACGGGGCGGCACCGGAGAACGGAGCGGCACCGGGCGGAGCGGAGCGGCGCCGGGCGGGGCGGAGCGGCACCGGGCGGAGCGGCACCGGCACCGGAGAACGGAGCGGCACCGGGCGGGGCGGAGCGGCACCGGCTCCGGGCGGAGCGGCACCGGCACCGGGCGGGGCGGAGCGGCGGGAGCGGCCCCGCCGGCCCGGCCTGCGCGGGAGGGGCGGGGCCAGCGCGCCGCCCGCCGCCGGCTCTGCCGATTTGTTGCTCAACAAAGTTGCGGTATTTGGGCAAATCTCATTAGGGATGATGATATGGCAGCTTGGAGGAAGGAGCCTGGTTTGATTTGGGTTTGATTCGATTTGATTTTTCTTATTATAGGTTTTATTTTCTTATTCTTATTTTTTTTCTTTTATTTTCCTTTATTGTGTTTTACTCTCATAAAATCACAGAAGCAGAATATCCTGAGTTGGAAGGGACCCAAAAGTAACATCAGTCCAACTCCTGGCCGTGCACAGGACACCCCGCAAACCTCACCCTGTGCCTGGGAGCATTGTCCAAACCCTTCTTGAGCTCTGCCAGGCTCAGTGCTGTGAGCCTGCTCCAGTGGCCAGCCACCCCCTGGGTGTAAAACCTTTTCCTGATGTCCAACCTAACCTTTATTTTACAGCCATTGTATTTTTTTTATTTTGTCATTTATTCTTCTTTATTCTATTTTACTTTATTTTTAGGGGCATATGTATTTATTTATTTATAACATCTGAGCCTGCTAGAGCTGAAAAATGAACTCACATGTGCTCTTCCTGGTCCCCTACATAAATTACCCACCTAAACTAGATAAAAGAGAGGGATTGTCCCTGGAGCTAGGACTGGTAGCAGTAAAACACTTTTGCTGTATACATTCCTTAGCGAAAATTATCCCATCTCCCAGCTGCTGCTGCTGCTTTGGAGCTGATGATGGGTTTGCATGTGAGAAAGCCTGGGGGCATTAATTTATTGTTATTTTAAAATTTATTTTTATTTATTTTAATTTTATAATTATAGTTGTATTTACATTTTAATTTAATTTTTATTTAAATTAATTTCTATTGGTTTGGAGGGGTTTTTTTACTTTTAAATTAATTTCATTTTTTCTATTTACATCACTTGGTCTCAGAAAATAGCTTTCCTCTTGGATGTCCCCCAGACCATCATGGATATAACTTTCTCCAAGTGCATTTTAGGATGAAAAGAAACCAGTTAAGATTCATTAAATGTTGTGGCTTCCAGGACAGATTTTAAGCTTTTTGTTCAAATGAGGTGTGTGGTTTCCCCTGACCCTGCTCTCTCCAGGAATTCCAGAGGGCTTTTTGCCCTGAGAGACAAACTCCCCTAAATACCACTGGAATTTAGGAGAAACAGCATGGCCATTTCCTTCTTGCTGGATAGAAAAGATTTATAGGCCAGCTCTGTATGTGAAAAGATCAGAAAGAAGAACACATCTGCAGATATGAGCAGTTGTTCTGTTGGAGGCTCCAATTCCTGCCACCAAGGTCCTCCTGCAGGCCATGGCTCTGGGAGCTCCCCAGCTGTTGAGCAAGAGCCTGGTGAAATCAGCTTCTCTTGCAAAACATTTCTGTCATTTTAGGTCTCAAGTGCTGCCTGCCCTGGGGCTGTGCAGGCAGGGCTGGGGCACTGGAGCACTCCATCTGCTCTCGCAGAGACCAAAGCACCGCCGCCTCAGAGGGGAAAAGTACTGAATTCCAGTGAGGCTGGGAAATTATCACAGCTTCAACGAGCTTGAGGGTGTCCTGAGCTGAAGTACTGGGTGGGAAGCACAAAGCCTCCTGTAACCCTCTGTTCCCAGGGTAAGCGCTGGGGAAGAAGGGTCTCCAGACCCAGTGGAGAGACTCTTCATGTCCTCTTGAGCCACTTGGTAACAAACAATCCCATGGTGTGAAGGATGTGGCTTCCTGGCACACGAGTGCTCTTGACCTATAGAACAGTTGGTTCTATGCTCATTTTTCAGTACTTGTGTATTAATTATACTCCTGAGCAGGCTCTGGCTGTGCCCAGATTAAATACTGAGGGGGTTGTAGGGTCTGGGTGGGGCATGGCAGTGCTGGAGAGGGTGACTGCATCATCTAAACTTGGAGTTATGGCTCAGTGGGACAAACCTTCTTCCAACACCCACTGAATAACTGAGAACAAACGCAAAACAGAGGCAAAACTTGCTGAAAACCACAAATTGTTACTTGTGCATAATAATCCATGAATCAATAATCAGGGAATATTGGAACAGGGGAGTTACTTGTTTCTCAGCCCATGCTTTGTTATAGTATCTTGTTTTTCAGTGCTACATGTCTTCTACACTTAACCAACCTACATCTCTCCCACCTGGACCACTCACTTGTGCATCAAAGTGCTTCCTGGGTGATGTGATCACTTTGTAGACAGCAGCTCTAATCTGATGAGAGTCTGATTGAGCCACTAATGTAACAGACCAAACAGATTCACTTCTTTCTACAATTCAAAGTAAGTATATCAGTCTTCAGTGAAAAATACCTATGCTTCTCAGGTCTGAAATAAAAAACAACTTGCTGTTTAATAGAGGAAGTAATATCAAAGGAAATCTTGGATGATTTAACATTTTGGATTTGTACTGCTCAGGTTGGACACAACTCCTTCGGTCTTATTTAGTGTGTTTTACATTTATTACAGTTGGCTGCATCTGTTACAGCAGTTCCAAGGTTTACATGCTGAGCTTTAGCTCTCCTTCCTCAAAAATATTCCTGGCATTATTTCCTAGAAATAGATTTGGCCCATAAATTGCAGAGAGCTTTGGAGTCTCTTCAGAACATCAGCACCATAGACTATAAAAGACTATGTGCTTTCTCCTGTCTAATATTTTATTTATATTAAAAGCCATCATGTGTTTTTCTCTGCACTCTGGGTGAAGGTTTAATTCAGCACATATATGAAAATTTCAATATATCCCAAGGCTAATTATATATCACTGTCACTGATGCTGCAGCCTCTGTAACTCACCAGCTGGCTGTTGGAGTCCCAGGGTCAGTAACTCATCTGGGCAGGCAGTGCTGCCTTCAGCCCCTCACTGAGCTGGCTCCCTGATGCTCTGTGTGTCCTTTCTAGTGATCTAATGTGCTGGGGCTTCTAATGCATCAATTTATTCCATAACTCTTTGGTAGCAGGGGCTTTCTGCTGCCATTTATCTTGGTCTCAGCTCCAGCAAGAGCAGACCCTGCTCTCCTGTCTCCCTCCCCGTAGCAATTTCAGCTTCCCGACACAGCCATTACTGATTACAGCCTGGCAGTTGGTTTTTGCACTATTAAATCAGCCCTCAGCTCCCAGCACGATGGCCATGAGGCTATTCTACTTGGCACACTTTATTTTGAAAGGATAGCAGTTTCCTCAGAGCTTTCTAACAAAGCTTCCACAACACAAAACTCCTGGGGCATCCAGGAGCTGTTTTCACTGTGTTTTCAAGTCCAAAGGAAACCTGACTAACAAACTTGGTTTGTCAGAATAGATTTTACTCCCATCTCTATCAGCCCCCAACCTGAGGAAATACTTTAGAAGAGAAATAAATGGACAAGACATTTACAACACTGAGATCCCTCTCCATCATCCCAGAAGAGTTGGGTTTGACTCTCTCTACAGAAAAGGTCACCCGACTCTGGTGGATCATCAAGGGACAGCCAGCTCGAGGACAGCCATGCTCCCCCCAGAGCAAGGGGCATGATTTTCTGTTAATCCTGCCTTGCTGTACATTTCTTGCCTTTGCTGGGTGCATATGTTCTGCTGAGATGACAGGAAGTTTCTAAGTATTTCCAGTACACCCCAGGTGTAATCTAGTGATGCAGCCAAAGATCTCTGCCTGCATCTCCCAGTTTATGGTAACTTTCCTTGAGTCTCTGCCTTACTGCTTTCAGAGTTTTTCCCCCAAACAAGGATGCTTTAATTTAGAGTTAATGGAGAAGCTGAGTGGCACTGGGACCCATGGAGCAGATGCCACAGAGGGAACACAGGGCTGCTGGGGTGACAGCCACTGGGACCATGGGGCTGGGGCTGATGTGAGCAGCCCGTACCCAACAGCTCCCAGATTTCACTGTCATTGCCTGGGACATGGGGAGGAACATCATCCCAACGGGAAGGGGAAAACAACCACGGCCTTTTATGATTTGCAGCCAAGGAGAGAGAGGTCTGGGGAAGCAGTCAGCAGAGGGAGGCACGAGCACACAGATCCTGTGCAAACCTCAGCCCGTGGCAAACCTCCAAGCTCCACAATGCAGACAGAGGGCTTCAAACAGTTCTGAAAAACTACTTATTTCATTTTTTTCATATTTATGTTTAGCTCTTGGAGATCAGATGAGAGACTGAGCAAATGAGGAAGCTGAAACATTCTCATTCAAGGATGTATTGTCTGAATTATTCATTATGATTTTCATTCTCCTGTGGATTTTTCAGCATTTGAGTTTTATGAGGATTGTGGATTCTCCCTCTTTTATATTATCTTACTTAATGAATTCCAGAAGCTTTCCCATCTACTCCTTCATACTCCAAAATCTCAGCAGAGAGTCAACGTTCGATAGATTTAGAGAAAAATTTCCTCAATATTTTTTTATTTTTGAGAAAAAATATCTTCAAAAAGATAAACATTTCATTAATATATGCACATGTATGCATATACAATGCAAATTTCCCTCCTGGGCTTCTGATAGATGTATAAGCTGTTTACCATTTACCAACTGCTCCTCTGAGCTGGTGGCAGACATTAAGTGGGGCAGCAGCTATGGGGCTGCTTCAAAACACCCCTTTGAAGAGCAGAGGATAGGGCTCAGTGTGACACCAGTGGTTACACAGCAGCTGAACAGGAAAACAGCCCTTCCTCTGCTGCATCTGCAAGTCAGAC